AGTTTTTAGCTAATCAGATCAAGCATGGAATGTGAGGTCTCATTCTGGCCAATGGAAACTGGACACAGCGGTAGGGCGATTGCATCAGGTGAAAATTATAAATGTTCCCATCTCCCTTGTTCAGGTGTGTTCTTGCAGCAAGACTGCCAGCGAGTTGCACCCTTCCTGCAGGAAGTAAACTAGCCTTGCTGAGCGATCCAGTGTCTCGGTGTGGATTTTCCCGGCGTTAAAAACCCATTTCCAACAACTCCCATGGGTGCTCACTGAGTCATGGTAGTTACCAGCATGAACCCTGAGTGGACTGCAGAGGTTCAAAGCTCTGGCTCCATCACCAGTTAGTTGCGTTATTTCCTTGGGTAGTTTCCTTGAGCTCTATATGATTTAATTTTCTCCTTTATCAGATGGCAATAACAATAATGGCACCTACCGCACATGGCTGTGAGATCACCCACAGCAAAATGTCCAGCACAGCAGCTGGAACTTGGTAAGAGTGAGCACCCAATAACGTCGGCTGCGATTGCTATGATCTGTCCTCCTGCGACTGTTTTAAGAAGGTGTGTAAGGCAGATGGCTGTGACACTGTCTACCCAACAGCCCTCTACATGGTGGTGGGAGGAGCTGCCTTTCATCTGCAGGATGACTGTGCCCATCTGACCCTGAAACGGGCCCCTGGCCCAAGCCTGGCCTCTGGGAGTTCTCCCCGGGAACTTGGGAGCCGCCTTTTTCTAGAGTGGGGGCTCCATCCCAGCTGTAGTTGGCAGCCACTCTTCTGCTTCTGAGGAGGATGCACGTGCAGAAAAGGAGATGAGAGCTGAGGAGAGGCGTGGGCTTCTGGGCCCTACTGTGGCTATTCCTGGGGCCCAGCTGCACTTCTGTTGCCCATGGGGGCTGCTCAACCGATTCTTCCCATAATCTATGAGCTGGAACCTCCTCCGGGGAGCAAGCTACTTTGAGCACCAACTGCAACTAAAAGGGTCCCATCAGTGGCAGTGTGTCCTGTTGACAGCCAAGAGCTGTGCTGGACAGAATCAACCTACTAACATACAATTGTTTAAAAAAGAGATGACAACGAGGAGCAGCAGGTGAGAAACGCTGATGGATGCTCACCTTGCACCAGGCACTGTGCTGAGGGCTCTACTCACATTGTTTCATTTGATCCTGACAGCCGCACCATGCAGTGGATGCCATATTTATCCCCATTTTATGGATGAGAAAGTTGAGACTGAAGACACTCAAAGGAGCCTTCCTAAGGCCTCTCAATTAGTTTAGTGGGCTTCATTGTTAACTCCTAACAGCCCTTCCATCCCAAGTGACAAATCAATGCCAATGAGTGTATAGCGGCCCCCTGGTGCATGTTTTTAGACCAGGAATGGGAGCAAGTCTTACACCAGCCCAGCCAAACTGGAGAGGAGAACGTATTTTCCATGGCTGCATTTTCTGCCTCTCCTGGGGGGAACCAGCCATAGAAAGAGGCTGATACTAAATGTAAGAGGAAGTTGATGTGCTAAAGTTGGCAAAATGGTGGAGTTGTCAGGTAAAATACAGAATGTCCAGTTAAATTTGAATTTTAGATAAACAACGAATAATACTTTAGTATAAGCTTATCCCCAAAATCACATGGAACACACTTTTGCATTTAAAAAGAATACAATTTTCTACATTCCTATCTGAAATTCAAATGTACCTGGGTGCCCTGTATTTTCACTTGCTAAATTTGGCACAGTGGAGAGAATGAGTACTTGACAACTTCATGAAGCCATAGACCATCAAGTACCTAAAGCCCACATTACCTCTGAACTTCTGGCTATGTAAGGTAATTAATTCGTTTATTGTTCAAGCAGTTTAGAATTGCTGTCGCTTGCACTCTGAAGCATCCTATCTTGTGCAGCAATCACTGGTTTCAGCCCAGACAGCAGGGCTGCAGAGCCCAAGCTCCCACCACTACACTCAATCCTAAAGGGACAGAAACTTAATGCCATATGAAAAGCTACAAAGCCAGTGTTTAGGGCATTGAACTTGTATTTTTAGAGCTGTAAGAATGCAGCTTAACAGACTTACTGGGCTTCATCAGACTCTCCTCAGACGACATAAATTTTTTATTATAAAGTTGTAGAATGTGAATTCCCTAAAACTCCTTCATGAATACTAACAAACTCTAAAATAACAGCAAAAGTGCTGCTTATAACCACTGAAGCCACAAAACCCAAAACACCTGGCAATTCAGAATTAAGAACTCCAATTTTAAAACATTAAAGATAAATTTCTACATTTTATTTAGAAAAAAACGTGAATGTGCACCACAGAAAAATGTGACTTTAGATCAAACCTGGAGCATTATAAAATAACCCTGCAAGATAGGAAGGGAATGTATAAGTAAGCACACTGAATGAATGAATGAATGGGTACCCATAGGACTGAGTTGCTCTCTGAGGATAAATGTGAGTGTGTTGGGTATACTGTTCACAAGCATAAAAAAAATCTCAAGGTAATGGCCCTAAAGAATCAAGGAATTTACATGTGGTTCTGGTACACCATCAATGAACAGAAGCAGGATGCTGGGTTAGCCATTACAGCTGGGAGAAGAGCAAATCGCTCCGGGGTCGCTCTCTGCATCCACCCATTTCAAAGTCCTGCTCAGGCACAGAGGCTTCCCTATAATGGGAAACACACAGCATTAACATCACCATCATCTGGACTCCCTTCAAGTCCATAAAAAGCCTTCATTTAGGACATGTCAGTACAGAAAACTATGAAGTTAAGGAAAGTTCTAACAAAGGTATATATGAAAATAGCTTGCTCTCTCACTCTCTCTCATAAATACATGTATAAGAGAGAGTGACTCAGTGGTTCCAATCCAGGCAGAAAGGCTGCAGAGCCCAAGCTCCCACCACCACAGTCTCAATCCTAAAGGGACAGAAACTTAATACCATTGTAAATGCTACAAAGCCAATGTTTAGGTCATTGAACTTGTATTTTTAGAGCTGTAAAAATGCAGCTTAACAGACTCACTGGAATTCATCAGATTCTCCTTAGTCAATGTAAATTTTTTAAATTATAAAGCCACAGAATGTATCTATCTATGAGAGAGACACCAAATTAATCTATAAATGTAACAAAACCCCAATCAAAATACCAACAGGATTTGTGTGGGAGAGATCAGAGGAGAGCTCAATAAAATGTTTCTAGGTTTTATCTGAGAAAAGTAACAAATAAGAAACTTCTGAAAAGGGAGAGCAAAGTGAAGGAGATTAGCTCAAGAAGATAAAATATTATAAAGCAAAACAATAAGAATAATGTGGTAGAACCACAGGACTTTTCAGGAAGCTCAAAGGAACAGAACAGAGAGTCAAGAGGCAGATCCACATAAGGATTTGATGATAAAAATGTGCGTCTAAAGCCATTGATTTGGCCAATAAAGAGTGTTGGCCACCATGCAGGAAAAAAGAAAGCAAAGGCATGTGAATTGTGACGGAAGATGGCTTTTAAGAATGTGAAGTGGCAAAACCTGTTAAACAGAATAGTACGCACCCACAGAATGGCATGCTCCAACCAAATGTTATGTATCTACAGAATGTGACACCCACTAAACATTATGTCCCCACAGAATGGTATTTACCCACCAAATGGTATCACCCGCTGAACAGTAAGCATCTACCAAATGGTATGCACCCACAGAACAGCATGTACCCACAGAACAGCAGGCACCCACAGAATGACACATACCTACTGAATGGTATGCACCTACTGAGCCATATGCATCCACTCAACAGTATGCACCCACAGAATAGCAGGCACCCATAGAATGACATGTACCTACTGAATGGTATGGACCTACTGCACAATATGTATCCACTGAACAGCAGGCACCCACAGAACAGGAGGCACCCACAGAATGACATGTACCTACCGAATGGTATGCACCTACTGAGCAATATGCATCCACAGAACATGCACCCACAGAACAGCAGGCACCCACTGAACAGCAGGCACCCACAGAACAACATGTACCCACTGAATGGTATGCACCTACTGAGCCATATGCATCCGCTGAACAGTATGCACCCACAGAACGGTATGCACCCACAGAATGGTATGCACTCACTGAACAATATGCAACCGCCAAATGGTGTACACCCAATGAACAGCATGCACCCACAGGACAGCAGGCACCCACTCAACAGCATACACCTACTGAATGGTATGCACCCACTGAACAGCATGCACCTACTAAATGGCGTGCACCCACTGAACAGTATGTGCCCACTGAATGGTATGCACCCACTGAACAGCATGCATCTACTGAATGGTATGCACCTACTGAACTATATGTACCCACTTAACGGTATGCACCCGCAGAATGGCATGTACCCACTGAACAATATGCACCCATAAAACAGCATGCACCCTCCAAATGGTATGCACCCATAGAATGGTAGGTACCCATAAAATGGTATGTACCCACTGAATGGTATGTGCCTACTGAACAGAAAGCATCCACAGAATGGTATGCACACACAAAACAGTATGTACCCACCAAATGGTATGAACCCATAGAACAGTATACAGCCACAGAATGGTATGCACCCACCAAATGGTATGTGTCCACTGAATGGTGTGCACCCACCCACTCAACAGTATGTATCCACTGAGCAGTATGTACCCACTGAACAGTAGGCACCCACCAAATGGTATATGCCCACAGCATGTGCCCACTGAATGGCTGGTAGCTCAAGTGCTGTGACCATGTGCCCTCAACTCTATTTCCCACCGCAATTCCAACAAGAAAGGGAACACAGTGAACTGGTGCACTTCCTCCATCCAGACTTCACTGAGTCTCCTTCACTCCACTCCCAATTTCTCTCTGCAGTTGAAATCTCTACCCACTCCTCCCAATAACAGAAAGAATTCCAGGAAATTAAAGGAGATTCTCTACATTTCGAGATTCCCTGATCCTCCCAATTGTTGCAGTAAAACAATCTGAGGTCAGAAACGAGTCTTACCTGTTTCCTTTTTTCAGGAGGAAGTGATGGATCGCCATCCTACAAAGAAACAAATGCTGCATTTTACTCTTTTTAAAAAAAATAGACGTGCTTAGAATCAAAAAATTGACTATATTATGAACATAAATGTAGACTTTCCCCACTCTCTCCACCCTGCAGCCAGTAATGTACTGAAGCAAGCTCAAATATACTTTAAAAAAATTAACTACAAACTTAACCAGAGTTATTTTGGAAAAACCTCTAGGGAATCAGTTCCCATTAGGACCAAATCTATATATTTTCTAAAATTATGTGAATAAAAAAAACTGGATTTGTCAAAATTATTTTTGATTAGAGTGTAAGCTGAAATAATATTTCATTTAGTTTGAGTTCCTCTTTTAAATAGTTAGAACCAAAGGAACAGTGATAGGGACACACATACACACAGATAGATACACACACAGAAAGAGAGAGAGAGAGAGAGAGAGAGAGAGAGGGAGATTTCTCAAAGTTAAGAGGACATTGAGAACTTCTAGTCCTATTAGGGTTGGTTTGGTTTGGTTTTGCCTTAAAAGGATTCAGGCCAGGTGTGGTGGTTCACACCTGTAATCTCTGTAATTTGGGAAGCTGAGGCAGGCAGATCACCTGAGGTCAGGAGTTTGAGACTAGCTGGGCTAAAATGCTGAAATTCATCTCCACTAAAAAAAATACAAAAATTAGCCAGGCATGCTGGCAGGTGCCTGTAATCCCAGCTACTAGGGAGGCTGAGGCAGGAGAATCACTTGAACGCAGGAGGCAGAGGTTGCAGCGAGTGCTCATACCACTGCACTCCAGCCTGGGCAACAGAGGGAGACACTGTCTCAAAAAAAAAAAAAAAAAAAAAAAAAAAAAAAAAAAAAAAAAAAAAAAAAAAAAAAAAAAAAAAAAAAAAAAAAAAAAAAAAAGATTCAATTCCTCTCCCATTTGTGCCACATCTGGGAATACAAATATCTGAGGTAAATAAGCAAATGCTCACTAAATGAGCACTCTTATATCTGATGCTGTCCACACACAAGTCAATATGATTTTAACCTGAGGAATCTATTCTATTCTATTTCTACTCCAGGGCACTTTAACAATGCCGGCACAGATAGTTATACGTCAGTAATGGTGTCCCACTTAAAAAAGAGATTGCCTGAAAAGCAGCAAGAATGAAAACTAGGATTATGCAATTGGCATTCTCCATTTCAGTATCATTTGCATCTTAAAAGTTTTGCCATATAAAAACCTAGAGAAAAACAAAAGTCCAGGATACAAGAAAGATTACAAAAATTATGGATATGTCCATACTGTGGATTACCATGCAGCTATTAAAAGACTGAGTTCAATCTGCATGCCTAGAAATCTGGATGATTCAAATCTGGATGAGTTGGATCTGTATACCTAGAAACACATCCAAAATAAAGTGCTGAGGGAAAACAGCATGTTTGATTATTTTTTTAAAATAAATTTGGAACATATTTTATTTTTCCATGAACTTTTAAATTTTTTTTTTGAGAGGGGTTCTACATTGCTCAGCTTGGTCTCAAACTCCTGGGCTCAAGCAATCCCCTCGTCTCAGCCTCTCAATGTAGCTGGGATTACAGGTGTGTCACTGCATTTGGCCTAATAGAGCTCTCTGCAATGATGGCAGTGTTTTCTATCCACACTGTCCAATACAGTAGCCATCAGTCACCTGAGCCCATGAAATATGACATTGAGATGGAAGAATGAAGTCTCTTATTTTATTGAATTCTAATTAATTTAAAATTAAGCAGCCAGCTGTAGCTACTGGCCTCTGTATTACTGCAGACTTACGAATCCTCTTTTTAAAGAACTCTATGTAATTAACTTAACAGGTAAACAGCCACACGTACAGTAGTCCCTACTTATCCTCAGTTGCAGGTACCTGAAGTCAACTGTGGTCCAAACATGTTAAATAGAAAATTTCAAAAATAAATAATTTCTAAATTTTAAATTGTATGCTGTTCTGAGTTGTGTGATAAAATCTTGCACCATTTCCCTCCATCCCGCCTGGGATGTGAATCGCCCCTTTATCCAGGGTATCCACGATGTCTGTGTGGCCCACTTGCTAGTCACCTAGGAGCTGGTTTGGCTATCAGATTAAAAAAACAACAGTATATATGGGGTTTTGTGCTAACTGCGGTTTCAGGCATCCACTGGGGGTCTTGAAACATGTCTCCCTTGGATAAGTGGGGAGTGCAAACACACATGTATAGATTCACAGATGGCAGAGCAAGAAGCACACGCGCGCACACACACACACATGAGAGAGAGAGAGAGAGAGAGAGAGAGATTAACTTGTGAGTGGGATTGGGTTGTAAAGGAAATAGAGGTGGTGACTTTCACTTCTAAACTTTCCCACTTTCAACTGTTTGCATTTAACCATTTCTAAAGAAACGAAAATCTCTTTATATTATATATAAATATAGCATGCGAAAATCTCTTTATATTATAATTTGGGGTATAGGAAGGTCTCTGAACAGGGCAGCCTAACACCTACAATCAGTTCTCGGTACTTCTTCTTCAGTGACTGGTGGCGCTCCCGGAGCTGATTGGCCATGAGTTTGTACTGGTCCCTCTCCTGCTGACAGGAGTCCAGCTCCTTGGAGAGGATCAGCAGGGCTTCCTTCTTACTCTCCAACTTCCTCTTACACACCAGGTACTGCAAAGCAAAAAAATCCAGGGAAGGGGTCAAAAATATCCACGGGCCTCCATTTAACACACATTGTGCTTCACACACCCTCCGGGGAGTTTTTGTCATTCTCATTTTTAGAGCTCACATGCCCAGAGAGACATTTTTCAGCAAATGACATGTGTACGTAAAGGCTTCTACAGTGCTAACATGCGGAACCCTCATGACTGAACCTAAACCTTGGACAAATAAATTAGAAAGCAGAACGTTTCAAAAAGTTGCATAAATGTATCAACAGGTAGACAGCTGGACCCCAATTTTGTTTAAAAAGGACTTATATACCCAAATAAGATTATGTAAGCTTTTACTAAGATACTCAATAAAAATTTTATTAAAACGTTGCTAACAATAATTTCTTGGTAGTAAAATTATTTACCCAGGTTTTAAAATTTTTCTTGATGCTTTTCTGTGTTTTCTGTTTCCAGAGTAAATCCATATAGTTTTTTGTTTGTTTTTTGAAGTGGAGTCTTGTTCTGTCATCCAGGCTGGAGTGCAGTGGTGTGATCTCAGCTCACTGCAACCTCCACCTCCCAGTCTTCAAGCGATTCTCCCACCTCAGCCTTCTAAGTAGCTGGGATTACAGACGCGAACCACCATGCCCGACTAATTTTTGTACTTTTAGTAGAGATGGCCAGGCTCTGTTGGCCAAGCTGGTCTCAAATTCCTGACCTAAGGTGATCTGTCCACTTCGGCCTCACAAAGTACTGGGATTACAGCCATGAGCCACCATGCCTGGCCCATATGGTTTTTATTGTAAAAAA